ATATATAATCTTTATTAGTCTTCCATCTTAATGGTTAAAACCCTCAATTCCCATGAAAAATAAAATCAGCAACTAAATAATATTTTATAGTATGTTAGTTTCTTGAGATTAGGTAAATTACTTATAACATCTACATAAAACATCCATGTAACTGTATATGTTCAAACCATTTTTGAAGCTCAGCTTTTGATGCATGCATGCTTTAGTAATGATTTCTTGCAGTATAGTTTGTTCAGAGAACAAAGATTCTCATAGGTCAATCAAAAGACTCAACTTATAGGTCCCCATGATAATTTTGTGAAGTATGTTAATATTAATCAATTAATTAACATGCCTATTAGTCACAATTTTTGATACTATTATGAGCTTAAGTGTATCCGTGTAAATGAGGAATTGTAAATTATATGTGGAAGCATACAAAGAGGAGAGGAAATGGAAATAAGTGTGTATTGATGATGAGATTCATATTATTATTTTTATAAAGTAGAAGAAATAAAAAGTACATATTATTAATTAGTGGGGTACAAAGGAAATTTCCGTCCATGTCAAATATTGTCTGTGTTGAAATGAAATTGAAAATGATAGGTAATGCCAATATAGGATGAGTGTGAGGGCTGCAATTGTCTACTCAAACCAACCTTTTTTCCTGCAAAAAGAAGAAAAACTATCATAACCCTCCACACATCATGTACATGTGTGAGTGTGATCCCATAATCCCTTTGGACAAATTTTAATTTTCAATAATATATATATGCACTTGATTTTGAATATAATATTTTCCAAGAGTTTTGATAAAAAACGAAAATTAGAATCACTCGTAAACTCGTCTAGACTAGTGTTATTAATGTCAGAGAATTGGACTATTACGAATTAATTTATTTATTTTTAGCTTATTTCGGCTTGTTAAGGTTTGGGTTGTGTCGCTAATATTGAGAAAAGGGCTAAATCGAACGAGTTTAATTAACGAGCCGAGCTCGACTCAACTCGATAAGACTCAAGCCCTAAATCAAATATCGAAAGTTCGAGTTAATTTGACTCTAACTCTCATTCATAGCTGGATGTTGCTATTGATGAGGTCTGATTAAGTGCAAAGAGGTCAACTAATATGTCACTAGACCCAATAAGATGTTATTCATCATATATAATGATCTAGATTCATTAATATGTACTTCATTTTCAGGTTCCATTTAGTATTAGGTATTTGATGTTGAATATATAAGTTCAGGCACAATGAAGAGCATGACTATAGTTTTCTTGAAAAATAATCAACATACCAATGAAGGGATGTTAACATTATTATATTTTATTATACATTTTCTTGTACAACTATGAATATGATCAAACAGAAGATGGAGTGTCACATATTACCATTAATGCTGTGTTGCATTTGATGCCTCACAGCTAGTATAAATTAGTCGAGCTGGATTTTTTATCCTCGAGTTTGGATTCGAGCTTTTATCGAGTTTGGCGAGTTCATCCCATTAACAAGGTGAACTCGAGTCATCTCATTTATAGATATTAACTAGACAAACTCGAGCTTTAATGAATTGAGTTATGATACAACTTATAAAAGAAAAATAAAAACAAAAATTATCACATGAGTGGAACATCATTTTCATGTAACGCTCCAGTGCAAATATATTTTCTGATCAAACATGTATATAAAAATCACTATTTCAAAATAGAAAAATTCATTTCAAAATCAGCTCATAGCAGGATTGTTTCCTCTAGATAATGCAGCACTCGTTGGTACTGCTT